GACTCTTGAAATAAAAACGTTATTGACATGAAGATTTTTTAAATTTAGGTTTATATTTAGTTAATTATTTATGTTTTTGATTTTGAATAAATACGAAATTTATTCGTATATTAATAGAATTGTTATTATTATTATTATTATTATTTTTAATGATATTGTTTATATCAATATTTAGTCCATTTTATTAATATGATGGCCTCTTTGCGACGCGTTCGTGTTCCGCGCATCATACAAAAGCGTAAAGTCTTACGCTTATTGCCGGCGATATTAGTCGGCAGCAGGCGGCAAAACGGAGTATTTCTCCTTGTTGTCGATTTTTGGCTTATGAAGCCAGAATTTTGGCCAGGAGCAACGAAAGGTGAGTTCAATCTGGCCAGAAGAAAGAAAAAAACTCTCTACGAGCCCAATGAGCAGAATGTGTAAAATCTACACATAAGACAACTTTAAGATATCTTTAAGAATTCTTTAAGAAACATCGTTAAGATATTTCATAAAGAATTCTGAAAGATATCTTAAAGTTGTCTTATGCGTCGATTTTAGACATTCTGCTTATTAAGAGGTAGGTTGGTGTGTAACACCAATCTAAGTTTGTAAAAGGTAAACTGAATATTCGGGAGGGTAATTTGCTCGCAAATTGCGAGTTCTTATATTTTTTGAGTTATCTAAAATACAAAAAGAATCCAACAAACAACAGGGCTAATGGGAGACAGCGCGGATAATCAAGCGCAAGTTTGGTTGATTAAAAAAAATCTACAAAACTTCTACTTAATTATCCGCGCTGACTCTTATTAGCTCTGTTATTTATTAATTTTTTTTGTATTTTAAAAATTAAAAGAACTTGTTTTAATTATATTATTGCTTATTTATTATTAGTATGATCGCGTTATCCCACTAAATTTATTAGTACGCAATAGGATATATGGTTAGACATTAGCTGCGTTCAGCAAAGAAAATAATTTTGCAACTATTGTAAAATTCTTCTATGTGATTGATTTGTATATTTAAATCCATAAGGAAAGCAAGAACCAATCGTATTGAAGAATTTTACAACAATCGAAAATCTACTTTCTCTGAACGCAGTCATTAACGTACATTATATTGTATATTCGCGATGTTTGCACATTTATGAAGTAATGTAGGTAGGAATACGGGTGGAGATAGGTATTCGCGAATAGGCACGAATAAATGAGAATATGGGTAGGTAGGACAATAAATATGCACAGTAGGTAGGGATAAGTATGCACTATATAGGTAGGATGATAAGTATGGATAGATAGGACTAAATACATCATATATACTCACTTGATGATTGGAAATGAAGGATTAAAAATTAAATAAAATTTTAAATTAATTTTAAGTTTTATTTAATTATCAGAATCCCATTCCAATTATTGAATATAAAAATAAACCAAATTAATTTCAAATGTTATTAAATTTTCAGCTATCCTAAAATTAAACTTTTTTTGTAAAATTCTACACTCAACAAATTATACAAATTATACGCAACGCGTTAATACTGTAATTAACTTTATTGTAAATAAATGTACGTATAATAATATATGAGATACGTAATATAAAATTTATGTAAACTATGTCCAGATGAATGCTATAATCATACTTTTGTAATTTGCACAACAATTCCCGGGAAAAAATGTTATATATATATATATGAACATATTTTATATATAATGATATACAATTGTTTGTAAAATATGTCAATTTTTTATATGATTATGTATAATTTTATATAATTATATATAATTATTATTATACATAAAACATTTTTTCCCGGGTTATATACTAATTAATTATACATTTATTGGAATATATTAGGTGTTGGAATTAATTCGTAGCGTTTTTAAATGAAAGAATGTTATTTATTTCACATGAGCATTAAAAAATACATTAATGAAAGTACTTCCCATCACTTGTAAAACGCTACGAATTAATTCCAACACCTAATATATATATATATATATATATATACATATATATATATATATATATCCGTATCTATTCAATATAAATTGCATTTATCTTGTCGTAGTAAACCAAATTGTTGCGTAATTGATGTAAATTATACGAAATCGACAAAACATATAATAACAAAAATTGTTTATTGATTTAATAAGTTTGATAAATATTTAAATTTAAAACTTTTTTTTATTTAGATTTTATTTTGTATATCAATAAGTCATTAATAATTTTAAGTAACTTCTTAATAAAAATTTGTTGTTTAAATCGTCATTTAAATAACCGTTAAATAATCGTCATTTTTTTTCTTCGTATTTAGTATAAATTTAAATAAGTCATAAAAATTGGAGCTTTGACTGAGGCAATGGTTAAATATTAACTCTTACTTATTTTTCGACATTTACATTTTTAACATTATAAAATTACAAGTATATTTTTGTGAACAATTTATTATATGCAAAAACCTCATACTGCTGTCTCTCGCGTCAGATGGATGCCAGTGATTATGTAGTTTGTACCGATGGAAAGTCGAAATTATTTTCATGATGAAGAATTATTCCTCGTCGCTTTTCGTGAAGTTCATTCGCGAAGTTTAGTTTAGTGTCTCTTCGGAGATTCTTATGCAGAATTGGAATTAATCTTGGGTTTTTTCGTCTGCAGTTACTGGTAATAATTTTGTTAATGAGTCAATGATAATTGTTATATATTTTAAAGTCAAGTTGTAACATTAATTAAGCGGTATATTTTAGCATATAATTTTCACTTTTTTATTAAATGTTCTCCCACTAGTAATAATAATGTTAGCAATAATACAATAGGAATTTATAGTATTGTATGAATGATATGGATATATAATTATTATTTGTTAAATTCAAATTATTAAATAAAGTAAACAAATTTTATACAAATAATTTGCTTATAATTTTTTGATGATTGCTCTAACAAAAATATGATTACGGATGTATATATTTAATTTTCTAACTGTTATTAGAATCATTTTTAGGTATTGGACATCCCGCCATTGCAGAATATTTTTAATTATTAATTTATATGTATGTACACTTTTCTATAATAAAATACATACAGATATTGAAGTTATATTTAACGAATATTGATTTTTATCGATATTTACATAACTTTTTTCAAAATTCTTTATAGTTAATAATGTTATCGTGATTACATGAGTTGAATTTTAAATGTGTGAGTACAAAAAATTCAAGATAAGTCGAATGGGTACCCTCGTATTAACGGGATATTAATAATTGTAATTTTTGAATAATAAAGAATTGTTAAATTTTATATAATAAATTTTTCAGGATGTTCTTTAAAATCCCATTATTATCGGGTTCGGCTCATCTTGAACAGTTGGTGCCCGAGAAATTTTTGTACCCATACATTTAAAAAATTACAATAACGCATGTATTTTATTATTATTAAATATATTCCTTCGTAATCACTATTGCATAAGGAAATTATTTTATCCGTTTATTTTTAATAAGAGATGATTTTTAGTCGCATGTGGCAGAACATATTTTCTCGCGAATTTTAATATTATATTAAAGATGTGATAAAAATGGTAATTGTAATTGACATGTAAAATTATTACTATCGCTAAGTAGTCTGAAAGATTCAGGATTCACATCGCAGTCCTGTAACAGGATCACTGGTATTTGACGGATTGCTTAACTTTTTTTTGCAAATGGGTCTTGTAAAATTTACGTAAAATCAAAATACATTAAGTTCGCTTTCTACTATGATGATTGTTCTTCTTTGTATCAGATACTAATCAGTATATCACGAGGCGGAGGGATTTTGATATGATAAAATTATTGAGATAGTTATCTTGAACTTGATGAAAGTGCTGTTATAAATATATTAATGACTTTTTATATTATTAAGTTTTATATTCGCAAACTAATAGTAAATAATTAATAGTAAATAATTAATAGTAAATACGATCTATGTTGTCAGTATTTCTTCTGCGTTTATTAATATTTCATTAAACATTGGTTTAAAAAAATTTGTGTTATTATATGTATTTTCGACGTTTTTGTATAATATAATCCCGCATTACAAAAATTTGTTAATTATGCTCCTATGTTATCATTTTTATTATATTTTGAACAGCATTGATAATTGTATATTGTAAATAATTATTATAATTGTAATATCGAATTGTATGAAGGATAATACAATAAAGAATAATATTTAAAAAGTTATGCAATTTCATTAGCGAAATACAATAAAATAATTAGACATAAAAATAAAAAAGTAAATTAAAGATAAATTAAACTTTAAAGGTACACTTACCTGCAAAAAGCGGGCTACTAAATTTATTAGTAGCTTATTTTTTTTATGGGTGAATATACTTACAAAGAAAAGAGGATCGCCGATAAAATTGGCGGGGGTGGTGGAGGGCCTCTATAGCTCGTTTTTGCTAAATTATATCTTAAATTGACAATATATGTTTAGAAAAGATTGAATTTATTAAAAAGATTGAATTATAATTGCTAGTAATTATGAAGATTTATACTAGTAATTATGTTTCATAAATACTAGCTGAAAATTGCATAAAGATACATAACTTTTTAATTTTATGAGATATAAGGTAAATATTATATATAAGACAAAATTCATTAAATTAACTTGTTTGAATTTTCAGTTTCATTTATTAAAATTCAACTTTTATTTGTGTCTGTAGCAGATGCGAAATTAAAATTTTTTCGTTGAAGGACCCATTAAATTATCCCTTCTGTGGATAGTCGGCACGCTTCTGTCCTGAGGATGTATTACAGAAATGAACCACATTTACTTTTGGCGATACGATTTTATCGATAGTGTTTGAAAATATATGTAGTCACGTTTCCAAACTAAAAATGGATGTACTGGCGGTAGTGTACGAGCGATTTCGACGATAACAGGAAAAAGGTCGGTATAGCCTTTCTCAGGTTTTTCTCTGCTGGTGGAGTGGAACCACGTGAACGAGCACGAGATACGGAGCGCCGTCGTTTAAGGCGGGGCAGAGGACGGAAGCTCCAAAGTCATATGATCGATTCGTGACAGAGCTCGCCGTTCCCGACTCGCAAAGATGGCTAGCCAGACGCAGGGAATTCAGCAGCTTCTGGCCGCTGAAAAACGCGCTGCCGAGAAAGTCTCGGATGCCAGGAAACGTAAGTACACTCGTCAGCAAGTTGCGCCGAAATATTTCGGGAGAGGAAGAAAGAAATACGTGTTGCGACGTGGATGTGCTAACCGTGATCACCGTAACCTTTCACGACGTTGACTTTTTCTGAAATTGACACATCATAACGAATTTTTTATCTCTTTTTCCTGAGCCGCGAACTCTATGGAAAAATCACTTTTTACTGTATCATCCAATAATTCGCGAAATTACATTTGATAGGGAGAACATCTTAGCTAACCTAGTGCGATCTATTTATGTTATCATTGATCATACGTTCACATTTATGCGAATTCAGGCATTTATTAAATATTGTTTAGCTATGTCTAATTTTATTCATTTATTGAAGTTACAATTTTTTCATCTCATGCTTTATTATATAGATGTCTTGATTTGATGGTTAAGTTGAAGTGTTTGTTCTATAATATATAATAATATTCTATTAACATTAATAAAATAATGTTAGATAAAATTGAGCCAGAATGTATTGTATGTAGGAATCTGAAAAAAATCTGGTCTGTATCTGTCTATTATTGTAATCTCTCTTAGGTAAAGCACGTCGTCTGAAGCAGGCTAAAGAAGAAGCCCAGGACGAGATTGAAAAATATCGACAGGAACGAGAAAAACAGTTCCGCGACTTTGAAGCCAAGGTATGTGTCGTTTTCCTTATATTGAGATTTTTATATTTGAGTTTTAATATTTCAATTGATCAACGATATAATAATAATAATAATATTATTGGTAGCACATGGGTTCAAAAGAAGATGTAGCTGCGCGTATCGAGGCAGATACGCGACTTAAGATAGAAGAAATGAATCAGACCGTTGCTGTGCACAAAAGCACGGTAAGTTCGCTACATTATAGTGTACATTTAATCGATAAATTAAACAGATATCTGAGAAACTACAATATCGACTCTGTGTAATTTAGGTCATGCTTAAAATCTTGGACTTGGTGTATGATATCAAGCCGGAACTGCACAGTAATTACCGCATTGAGGTCTAAGCCACAAAAATTGCATCTAATATAGCTATAAATATGATACGTCTTACGCTCTATAAATATATATTAAATAATATTACTGTTCACCATATCTCAATATGTATTTATCGCTGTTATATCGTATGACATGTTATATTTTATCTGAGAAACTGTATACAATGTAGCTGTATAGGCAGTGATACTCAAACTACTACTAGAATTCTTTTCTCCCGCAGTTGCTACACGACAATAAATGTAATCGTATTGTTATTACCGCTGAGCTTTTCACCGGCACGTATTCGGACAGTTTGAGAATTGCTGTAATGTAGTTGCATCAAAACAAAGAGAAAAGAAAAAAAAAGTAACGTGAATTCAACAGAGTACTTTGACCCGATGCGTCAAGGCCTAGACACATCGAGACAATGTGCGATTGTTAAAATAAATACGATTAAAGCGATTTAGGGTGATGGAATTGTATATGTCGTTCAGTGTATGCCATTAGATATCATTCCATGATTCTGTTACATCGAGGATGCGCTTTGAAATTTTTCCCACGGACATGCTCCCAGTCGACGGTGGACCACGCGACGATGTAGCAATATTCAGACTTCTCATCTTTTAGCGAGAATGTTTCAAATCTCTGTTAATCTTGCGAGATGGGCAGCTTTGCCTTACATGTATATCCTTATCTTTGAGCTGGTTGGTTGTCTGTACAGTATTAGTGTTCAAAATATAAAAAAAGGAAAGAAAAACTCAAAATGTATGATTTTTCATTCTTTTTATGTACTATTTTCGCAGAATGACAACATGCTCGACATAATGTTGATCTTGAAAAGATTTTATATATTTTTATATATATATATATATATATATATATATATAGAATTTATGTTATTAATGTGTATTGTAACGAAGATATGCTCTAGTTGATTACATAAGCATTTCGTTTTCGGTATGTTATGTAATCTTTTTTCCCCCATATGTGCCGCCAAATTTGCAGATTCGATTAATGGAATATTTAAAGAACTGTCGCAATGAAATATTGAGAGGTTCGTTAAACCTCGATCAATAACCACGTTATCGGTTTGGTCGATTATTAATGACGCATGAAAATTTGACGATGCGTCGATCTTCCTTCATGGTTTCAGCATTTATGTGAGCACGCTGCTTTATAATTTACAATTACAAGTTCAAGCTAATTCCTCTCTTGGTATAGCAATTGCACGATTATCATTATACCTATATATGTATTATCGAATTAATCTCACAATTAAAATATAAAAAAAGGAAAGAGAAATCCAAAATGTATGATTTTTCGCTCTTTTTATTACTATTAATATCAAATTATAATAGAACTTATAATTATATAATTTTCTTGTCCTAAATTAAATATTATATATAATTTTCTTATTGAAATCTAAATCCACATTCTTTTATGAAAAAAATACTCTCAAGACTTCATAAAAAGAAACATTTCTATATAAAAAATGTAGCAAAAAAATAATATATTTCGTTGGTTTCTCCTCTTTATGATATTTTTTTATGACTTTTTTTTACAAAAATAATCAGAAATATCAGTTCAATTAAATAAAGTTTCTTGAATAAATTACTGGCTACAATCGAGAGCGTTTATAACCGCATCATTGAATAAAACAATTTTGTATCTAAAAACTGATTTGAATACCAGTCTACGTTCGATATTTATAATCAATTCTTACATTTAAGATCGTCTTAATTGTAGTTTTTAAGAGTTAATTGTAGTTTTCATAAGTCAATTTTAGAGGATTTTAAAATAAGAAAAGCATTAGTCCGTTCTTATTTTAAGATCGTCTTAAGTAATATCTAAGATACTAATACAATAAAGACTTCTGATTGACTTATGACATTTTTAAACTGTATACTTAAGACCATTTTAAAGATAAGAATCGACTGTGAATATCGGCCAGTATTAGTATTTTAAAACATTATTTTAATTTATTTATCTATGTGTCTACTTATCTATTTAAAATTTTGAAATAAGAATTAACTATAAACATCGGTTTATGTACAGAAAATTTGATTGGCTGATCGGTTTACGTACGCCGACGCACGACTATTTTAGAACAGACTTATAAATGTAACTGATAATGTCCTTCGCGCCAATTTGGAATATGAATATTTTCTACTTTTCCTTCTTCGCGTCTTTTATACGTAAATTTTCACACGTCTATTCAGATCCTTATAAAGAACATTGAATGAATCGATACACGGCTTGCTGAGAAGTGCAAAAAAAGCATCTTCTACCAATTCAAATTGTTCACATTTTAAATTTTCTTAATTTTGCGCGACTGTCCGGCCGCCATGACAGTTCGGTAGATTTTTCGAATCGGACGGAGAAGGCAGTTGTTCCGTGATTAATCGCGAATTTGTCGGTTAAGAACGCGTTGTAAGTACGAATTTGTGTCGGAAGTGCCGATTAAACCGACGGGTGTGTAACTGCCGCGAGTTCGTCGTGTACAATCGAGACTGTGCCTTGATATAAACATCGAAACGAGTGCGAGAAGGAGAGCGTCGATCCCGTTTTGGGCGCGCAATAGTCGAGTCGTTCTTTTCGAACAGTCGGTGCGCGATCGACATCAGAGACGTAGCGTGTCAAAGAAATAGATCGTCGTAAATATGCGTCTGACGAAATAATCTGCTACAGAAATTATACGTCGCGGAACAAAGCGCGATTCATATCGATATTTCAACATGGCAGTACGAATATGAGTTTGTTCAACGGTAAAATGCGCGAATCAAGTTTCGGAATTGTATGTAGTAAACGATTCGTTTGCGTTTATCGTTTCCTGGATGGGATTCATGGACGTTTTCTGAGAAAAAGCGTTTCTGAGATGAAACTTGCGAGAGGATGAAATTACTTTACCTTAGCTGGTGAGCTGTTAAGTTAATTATTCATCTCATGAGTTAACTATAATTGTTCATTAGAAAGTTTGAATTAATTACATTAATTATTAAGATTAATTCATTTTAAATTAATATGTACATAATTACATTGACTTATCTGCATGATTGCGGTTATTTGCGAAAGATTCATTAAAGTATTTTAAAAAATGTATACTTTACGCGTCAGGTATAAAATATTTGCTGAATATTGCATTTCTTGAAATAATGAAATAATCGACAAATGGGGAGGGTGCAATGAAATTTATAATTGATTAAATTAATTAGAATATATTATTGTTTCTCAGATGTAGCTGAGAACGTAGCTCGACCACAATGCCGGTCAGTGAATTTCTGACTTATATCCGGTAAAAAATTTGTCATGAATATGTATAAATATGTATAAACATACATAAATACGCATAAATATTCATAAACATGTATAATTATATATAAAATATGTCATACATCCTTTTTTCTTTTGTAAAATTATTTTTCATGTAATAATAATAGTTTGTTTTTATTATTATTAATATTATTATTAATATAATATTATAATAATAATATTATATTAATAATAATGTTATATTAATAATAATATTAATAATAATAGACATAAACTATTATTATTTCTATTACACTAAAAAGTAATTTTACGAAAGGAAAAAGGATGTATGGACATATTTCATACATAATTATACATGTTTATGAATATTTATGCGTGTTTATGTATGTTTATATATATTTATACATATTCATGCACGAAAAATTGTGTACCGGATATGCAACGTTGTGTAACGCTGTGGTATATCTGTGTGATCTTATCCGTTTCTTATTTGTTATTTTGTCTTTTTGTCGTCAATTGTTAAAGTGACTTTGACCAAAATTCGATTAATTTGATTGATAATTGTCATAAGTATATATCATTTTATTATCGTATTTTAACATAGATAAATTTTGTTATTTAACATACATAAATTCGACAACGTATTACATCAATTACTTAGAAATTTCGTTTTATAAATCGATTTACTGCTTAAATTCAGAGGGAATAACATTTTTTTATTCTCTCTTTTTTATTTCAGACAATGCCGGTGATGCGAGAGAAGCGTTCAAAGAATCAAAATGTACGTACGTGTACAAAGTACGAAATTACAAATAGAATTCCACTTCGAAACCTGATTTTGAAATTATAGATGAAATGATTTTGCAGGCTTCAGGCATAAAGCAACGATTCCAAAGTTCACCGCACGTTTTGTTTATGCGTGATACATCAACGTTACAACCACGATCGCGACCGTTGCGTGCGCCACTGGTGGGGGGCGCCCATGCGCGCCGCGTCGCGCGTGATAGTAGGGATGATCAGCTGTACTTAACTCCCGTCGTAGCGTCACTCCCCCCCTTCTCTCTCTCTCCCTTCTCTTGCTCGACGCGCCGCGTACTCGACGATACGTCGCGTCGGTACGTGCTCCACTCCGACTCCTCCGTTCTCCACTTGCTTGTATCTGTGTTCGTGTGCCAGTCCCGACGGTAGTGTCAGCTGCGGCGCTAGCGCCACTCGATCGAGCGGCCGGAGAGCGATTCGATTTCGCGAACTGACCCGCGGCGGCGACGAGCGGTTAGTGCGTGTGCCATTCCGTGCCGAGAAATGGAAGCCGACGAGCCGCGTTCGGTCTCCGATACGAGAACGAGCACGTTGTCGACGTTGTACGTAGTCGTAGCGCGCGAACCCGTCGCAGTGACAGCTGTGCACGTACGTAGCTTTTGAAGTTTTGTTATGACAAAGAACGTATCACCGGGGACGACCGGTCGCCGACCAGCCGCGTATCCGGAGAACGAGAGATCGTTGTTATTGTCATTGTCACCTTCGTTATTATCTTTGTCGTTTTCGTTGTAAACGTCGGTTGCGATAAGAGTGCATATTGGTTCTTGTGAAGAGGAGAGTCGCCGGGCTACGGCGAGGGATTAATTCGACGCAGATTCAAAGGTCGCCGAGGGAGGAGTGATCGCGAAGATGTGGTGCCTCGTCAGTCAGGCCAACTCCGTTATCCTCGAGGTACAGGTCGACCCGAAGGCCATCGGCCAGGAGTGTCTTGAGAAGGTAAGTCATACGCTTTTGTTCTCGTTGACAATGCTATAATGGATAGATTGCTAGCGTGACGCACACACATGTATATATATATATTTTACACACACATACACAAACACACATATATATTTATATATTATATATATATATATGTGTATGTATGTGTGTGTGTATGTGTGTGTGTGTGAAATTAGCATACCAAAAAATAGTAACAAGTGATAAAATTAGTTTTATTTTTAGGACGATATTTTCGTCCATTCCTCACCGCGTGTCCTCGTGTTTACGCCGTGCAATATTTATGCTAAGTAAAAATACACTGCAAAACGCTTATCTTGCCATGCAAGTTACATATCAACAATGCAGGTACGCTTCGTATTAATAGACTCCAAATTTGCCTCGAGATTATATTTACGAGGAGATATTTGATTTCACGCATTTACTTTTTCAATTGAAGTTGATCATCACGTATCTCGAATTTGATGTCAAATCGTATTAATAAATTAATCCATTTAGTTTAGCCTAATTGAATTTACGAGAAATATTTGATTTCATAGATTTGCTTTACAGTTATACTATATAGAAATGTATGTGATTTAGCCTAATTATATTCACGAGAAAATATTTGACTTCATACATTTGCTTTCCCAATTGAAATTAATCACTCTGTCTCTTTCAACGTCAGAACATTAATAAATAATACAATATGAATGATGTGTCCTCCATTAATAATTTATTCCAATAAAGTATATAATTTAATTTTAAAATACATATGATAAATAATTTAATTATAAAGGACAATGATGATCTAATGGAATAACAAGATACATTCTATTAAATACAATTTTTATTTTCTACGAGATAACGTCTAATATATTTCGCGAGTCAGAAAAAAAATCTCAGAGAATATAACAGGACGTTTATATTTGTTGGCACATTGCTTGGCAAATTTGATCTTGTTTTCTTTTTTGGAAGGAGTGTTGTCCATGTAACACCAAATTACGATTAATCAAAATCCACTGAAGAGAGAGAGAGAGGGGGGGGGGGAGAGAGAGCAGTGTGTGAAGTCGAATCGCTTCCTGTTCTTGTCGACGCCTGAATGATTCATCATGCAAACTCCTCCCTGGAGTATTCCAGACGCGATTCAGGTCAGGACAATTGTACGCGTTTTGCAGCTCGAAGAGAGTGCGTCCTTGTGTTGTGCAACAACGCCTCGAAGCGTAGCAAGACTTGCGATTTCGTACAGAAAATCACGGACAGTGCGATGCAAAAAGACGGGAATGACAATACTCGTCTCAACGATGGAGACTGTCGACTTGTCGAAAATCAGGTTAAAAGTTGGACACTTCGTGAATCGACAGGTAGATGTAGATTTGTAGATTGTCGCTCGCGAGTATCAAGTCCTTTCAATGATTTCTACGAATTCGCGCAGCAGTGAGTCGCGTAGACAGCGATCTCGATCGTCGATTTACAGAAGAAAGTTTCGCGTACCGACAAAGTTTACTTTATATAGTCGCCGCGGGCGTTTTCTCGGTTTTGATACTAAGAAACTTCTCTCGCTCTTCTCGCGATCTGATGCCTTTTTTTGTCGCCTTATACACGGATGCAACTTCAGAGTAACATTGCGTATTCGACCGTTTTTACGTTAATTTAGAAAGCTTTGCGTGATTACATTTCTTAATTGCCTTCTTATCTTTCGAAGATGCTGATTTTTTTTATACTGGACTCAAAGTGATTTTATAAATATTACAGATATTGTCCAATTTATCCGATAGGCTATCGAAATGTAGGCTATTAAATATTGCTTTGTATCGTTCTTATCGGAAAAAATATGCATGTTTAAAGGTCGATTACAAATATATTCATCCTATGTTTACGGAGATTCGTATCAATGATATAAGCGATAAATTTGTTTAAAAAGTCTCTAAATCCTAAATCGATAGACGGCGAAAATAAATGTTACCTTATCTCGCAGAAGTGCTTTCAATGCGCTGATATTGATTCGTGCATTAAGTAATATATGCTCATATATTTCTTATACGTTAGAAGTAAATTTATCATCCAATTGATCTGTTTCCTTGTTCTTTCTATAATCTTTGTTTCTACTAAATTGTATCTAATAGGTATATAGCAGATATTCAGTTGACATTTTTGTGAGCGTTTGATTTATTACTAAGACGACCTCGAGACATAGTTTGCATTGAGGCGTGTCTCGTGTCTTCTAGTGGGTTAATGCACGTTTCGTATTACGAGAGTTTTGAAGGTACCTTGGCCTAGGTCCTAACTCTCATGTGCGCAACAGATGTCGTGAAGACACACAGTCGGTTCATCTGAAATCTCGATTTGTCACGATAGTCGTTAGATGGTTCTTTGTATTTTAGAAAGGAGCTTCGAAAAGGCTCTTCGAAAACTATATTTTTGCAACCCTATACTAACGAAGAAACGTACCATATAAATGATATAAAAAAACTAACGAAAGATTACGTTTGAACTTTGAAATAGATACTCTAGATAGTTAAATGTTGAGATTCTATTGGATTCCAACACACAAAATATTTTACTGCTCCAGCTAGAATTATAGCCGTTTTTTGTATCTGATAGAAAATTATGAATATATAGCACAAAAATTTTATCTCTGCTATCTATATGATTAGATGCAATACATATATACTGCAATAGTTGCAGTACTTGCTAGAAATTTATCTATTCCAGCTATTTTTCGTACTTAAATAATTTTCTCTGTAACTGCAAGATTATTTTTTTGAGTATCATTTTTTTTATGTAACTGTGGGCCGGAATATGTTTAGCCATTTTATCTTAAACATAAAATATCTTGAGGAAAAATGTTTCAATTGTATTTTGCATTAGATTTATAGGGAAATTTTTTAAATTTTACTTTTTAAATGGAATTAAATAGTGGAATTGAAGACGCCCTTCCATACGGAGACATCGTGTTTCTTTCTCTTCAGAACCCTCATAGAAATATCTTTCCCTTCACAGAATACATCTCGCCTGGCTCATTTGGTTTCTATTACACACTCCTTATGCTCCGGTCGACTCGCTGCATTATCATTCTTATAAGTTACGCCGAGATTGCGGCGGCGAGAAGAGAGAGAGATGGTAACGGAGGGTATCGGAATGATCGTATTCAATTTATCTCCGACCCGATGTCATCCCACGACCATCTCTAGGATTTTTCCCCGACAATCGAGTCTCATTTCTTTTCGTCGATTCTATTTAAAAATAAGACAACATATAAGAACTAGTATGTTATAGAAATAACATAACGATATCTTTCAAGGTCTACAAATTGTTATCGGCAAAGGAGATTACATGACCATTAGGGAACAGAAAATTATTTTATTTTAATAATTTGCTGATATTTAATATCTAAAGATAAGTCTAAAAATTATATATTAATATAATTATAAATTATACATTAATATACATTTATTAATATGTAACACTTATAGAGTCACTGATCTTATCTTTATTCATACTTATTTATGACTTACTGAGTTTCTGCTTGCATATTAATCTATGTTATAATCTACTATTGAAAATATCAATGTCGCTTTGATATGTTTGAATATTGTATAATCTATTTTTTGTGACGATATTATTCCCTGAATTAACTTATTTTAAATTAGTTAGAAATGGTTTATGCTAATCCGATTTTCAACGGCATAATCGTGACTCGACAACCGCGCTACTCTCTCGTATGTGTAGAGAAGGAACCGGTTATCACGCCTATGAAAATAGTGTTCAAGGTCGGGATGAACCGAAAATAAATCTCCAGATTTCTCCGTGCGTTATACACGTTCGTTATGCGCTCGTTCTTCTCCGTTCGAAAAAGATATTCCTGGTACGCGACTGCGGATACGCATTCATGATGCGTGATACGATTTATCGGCGATTGCGATTAATTGCGATAACTATGTTTGCTCAGTAGATTCGGCATACCGGATAATTCGAAGCACTGCCCGAATTGTTAATCTGCGGTTCGCCACCGGAGAACCAACGTATGTGATTTTAACAAACGCTAAAGGAGCCCGTTTATCCGGATGATACGAGTAATTACACATTACACATTACACAAATGGCATGAAACTTTAATTACGTGTACCAATCAAACAAAATTGCGTCGCGCGCCAAAACTTCGTTTGCGATCTTTGTTGAAGACTACAAACTAAGTCAACCGATGTATCTTAGGCAAACAAGAAGGCAATAGGAAACTTCCGTCAGCGTGAGGTATTTACCTTTAATGTCAGTCCATATCGTGCACCAACGATGATTACGATGCATCCAAGTGGGTCAGGCAGTCTAACTGGGTCGCGGTTTTACTGACCATCGCATTATTAGATTCCCCTGCAGCGAGATTCTTGTAGATTTGCGTTTTCTGCGCGATCAACAAATTGTGGCTCCGATTATATTACGTGGCTCGCAAAATATAATATAATAAAAGAAAAATCTGGTTTGTTTATTTTTTTGATGTACATAATGAATGTTATAGAACATTTGTTATGTAATCAAGATTCGTCATAGTTAGATCAGCAAGGTTAACAAAAGAAAAATAATTAAAAATAGAACTGGAGTATGAAAAAACTATTTTTGATATAAAAAGCGATTTACAAAGATCAATTTTGCAATTAATTGTTATAAATAAATTATTAAATATTAATTAGGGAAAAGTTATAACGCCAATCGATTTTACGAGAAGAATTACAAAAGAAATACGTTTAACTTTTTTAAAATCGGTCTCCGTTTATGCAAAAAAATCATGGGTTATTGAAACTTTTAGTTTATAAATAAAATAGTAAGATTAGCAAAAAAATAATAATTGGAAAAAGTTCATTGTTCTTTGTTGTAATTTTTTTCGCAAATTCGAGTAACGTAATCAATTTTCTTCTACAATCGATATTTATTAATTTATTTATAACAATTTGTTGCAAAATTCTTTTTTGTATAATGTGCTTTTTACGTCAGAAATATTTTTTATTCTTGATTTTGATTCT